AACAGCTGGACTGCAGCCATAGCACAACACCTCCTCCCATCCATCACCACCTTCAATATCACTGTCAAGCAAGCTCTGCAAGAAGGTAATCTGCTTCTGGATCATCTCCCGCACATAGGGCTGGCTGAGCTTCACCTATCAGCGACAAAGGGAAACAACATGATTTAATTAAATACCAATGGTATTACTCAACTGGAACCATGCAACATGTCATCCAATATGGCCACGACAAGGCTTTGTCAATTGAAACAATTGTATCCTGGCCTTCTTCTGCGCTGGGGTCATGGCTTGGAGCTCATCCACAAGCCCAAGACCTGGGGGCGGAGTGACCTCCTCTTTCTTGACGTTGGGCTGCTCCTCCTTCAGCTCCTCCTGTGGCTGCTCCTCCTTCACCTCCTCCTTCTTTGCCTCCCTCCCTGGTGGCTTGGGAGCTGGCCTGTCAGGTTTTGAAGGCATGGCCTTGGCAGCCGGGGCTTTGCTGCCACTGGCAGAAGATGACGCAATTGACCGAAATGACCCAATTGGTGCTGTGGCAATGGGCCCAATTGCCTTGGGTGGAGGTGGACCTGCTGGAGCAGGCGGTATGGATTTGCCACGCAGAAATTTGATGCTAGCCTCTGGCCAAACTTCCCTCCACAGGTTTCTGGCCCTGTCCAGGCTCTGCTCGAAGTCATCCTCGGTCCAGGCCACACCTGTCAAGTCGTCGAAAAGGTTCTGAGTCAGGGTTCGCAGGTTCCTTAGCAACACTGAGCGACCAACAAGTCGTTGAATGAGTCAATTGAGGCAATTGAATCAATTGAAAACATTACAAGAATCAATTGAGGCAATTTAATTGGGGCAAATGTTGATGGTTAAAAACCATTAATGTTTGAAGACAGAACTTATTGTGAATGTAAGAGAACTGACTTGTTTCGCATTTCGATCCCACAAGTTTATCACTACAACCCCCCAAGTGAAGCATCCAAACAGCTCAGCTCAATTTGAGGCAAGACACACATTGGGCGAACCCTGAAGAAACGCAATGGTGTTACAGGAATCCAGCTGCGGATTCATGCTCAGCTTTGCGCTGTAGAGCACCACTTCGCACCCTGCCATCTGCAAGATCCGGATGATGACACTGGCCGTCCCAAGTGTCCGGTGCCAGCCCCAACTGCAAGTCAGCCTCAGCAAGACAAGTCTGAATGTGTAAACGTTGAAGCTTTGACTGAGGGAAATTGCTCTTCTGAAATTCACATCAAAACTGTGAATTGCTCCAACACATTCAAATGACACAATTGCAAGCATCACAAGAAGAATAATAGGTCAAGACTAGCCAAATGCAGACAGGAAACCGGACGATGTTCCCTGGCCGGGACAAAATGTCCAGGACCACCGACTTGAACTCGCTGTGGCGGATGACCTGAATAAGAGAAGTGCTACAAGGACTATGGACAAAGGCCCATGGAGCAATTGATCCATAACAACTGGCTCAATTGACAGCGCATGCCATTTGACAACAATTGATTCAATTGACAATATTTAATTCAAACACCACTACCACTTGACAGCTTGACTCAATTGACTCAATTGACAACCTGCTTGCCATTCTGATGCCAAGCCACTTCCTCCTGCACCTCCGTGTGCAGGCCGCTCATCTTCTGCTTGGTCTTGTCGTGCTCCTCGAAGCTCCTGAGCATCCAACCCCGAACCACAATGATGATATCATCATCAATGCATTCAAACATTGTGATTGTGATCGTAATTAATGCATCAAAGGCACTGGCGTGAAAGCTTCAACGGAAGCCGGTGCTCCCACACCTCCTTCATCGGATTACGAAGGTGACCACATAACTTTTCGATAATCCTGACCACCTCAGGTGGTGGATCCTGCAACCAATGAAATGCACAAAGCAACTTGATCAAATCAAACACAGATCAAACACAGCCGCTAGAGAACTATGCAAAAGTGCATAAATTATTGTCAATTTCCATCATGATCTTGACACAAGGCTCTGTCCTTCCAACCACGTCTGGCATTGCCCGATCCATACCCCAGGATTGCGACTCGTGCCGGCCAGTGGACCACTTGTGTGTTCCAAAGCATGATAGGAACCTGACATCATTACCAAAGCAGACCCACCCAATTGACACAATCACTGCACTACATCCAAAGCAGACAATTGCCAGCACTTCAACACTTCACATGGCTGACACAATTAACACAATTAACACACTTGATCCAAACCAGCCAATGTGATTCAGCAAACTTCTTTGATAAGCCAAGAAACTGCGGTTTGGTCACTTTTTTTGGTTCCACCCGACGTTGTCATACTTGATGCCCTTGTTCTGGTGGTACCTTGGTAATGAACCAGCTGAAAGCCATCATTGGCAACAATCAAAGCAGAACATCCTGCAATGCAGGTAAGTTACTCCTTCACCTTTTGCCTCGTAATCGACAGAACGTACTTGAGGATGTCAGTAGGCTTCTTCTTCTCCACCAAATCCCTGAGTAACAAACAAGTGAATTGAATTGACCCACACTTTCTCTGACAATTGACCCAATTGAAGAGAACTCACCACAACAAACGTTAAACATCATCAAATGAAACATAGAAGCCCAAATCAGCAAACTTAATCCCCACTTCTTTGATCCAAGAGGCACCAAGTCCTGGGCGTTGCTTGGGCACTCAAGGTAGATGAAGTAGAGTGCCTCAAGCAAGCAGTTTGCTAATGCACTATTCCCAGATTCTAGTAACAACATTGGGATTTATCTTCTGACACTCTTGAAATAAGATAATAAATGATCCAACTGCTCAATTGCGTTTGTTTCATGTGCGATCAAGCGACCTGTTGCGCTTTCCTTGGCCACTTGCTCACCGATGGGCGCCACTCAGACGGTAGGTATTGCAAAGCAATCGAGCCCGAAGACATAAGTTTGAAATAAAATTGTTGTGTGTTTGTTGTTGTTCATTGGGTTGCCCTTGAAATAACATATCATGTTTTTCTGCATGAAGCATGACTTGTTTTCAAATCTGTTTTGATACAAATGACACAATTGACACAATTGAATTACTGTAATCAAAATCATGGGCTGGGGCACCAATTAATGCTTTGAGCACTAGTTGCTTCAGGGCAACTGCCATAATATTGTCATGATTCGCAAGCACGCGTAATTCAAGTACAATGCAATTCAATGAATCAAATTGAATGACTGGCACTTGAACAACACATGCCTCGCCTGGGTGTATCCATGAGCCTGCCACCAATGTCACAAAGTGGGTGGTCCCCTATCGGTTGTGAAGGTTTTCACAACAATTTGAACATCCCAAGTCCACTCCCTACTTTAGTCTTCCCCTAATTTTGTCGCTTACTCATATCATCGCACATCCATATTAATTATATCAAACCAGATTTTTTTGCAGAATCCAAGTTCCAGAATCTGGTTGTTTATTTCCCATGAAATCCCCAAGATAATTGTATAAAGATATCACCGTGTGAAGTTTGATGGTGAATTCCAGGAGGTTACCAGTTTGCGAACTGGAAAATCAATGAAGATCACCTTTGCTTAAGAGGTAAATCATGCATAAATCATCTATCAATGGCCAATTTCCCTTGGAAAATGCATCTAAATCACCGGTTTTTGATAGATCAATTGCTCAATCATCAAGCTCAATGGCCCATGGCTATCCCCAAAATCCCATGATGTATCATCATTGTACGAAATGACTCTGGTGGTTTTAACCATGAAAAATATGAGTCAATGGGAAGGATTCTATCCCATATGTATGTATATATATATATTATATACATAAATTATATATATAGTATATAATACGTATATATATATATATATTAATGAAATAAAATATATTCTGGAAAATAAAAGCCAGGTTTGAAACCACCAACCAGTGACCATATTATGGGTATCAGAAGTTATCGCCAAAAAAACCCAGTGCCTCCCCCATGGCCTTGCCCTCGTCCTGCGCCCTGGATCTCTACGCGCACGGGACCTGCCATGATGGATTAAATCACACAATTAAGACAAACAGCAAATCAGTCAATCAACACAAATCACGCAGTTTGAGCCCTATTGCCTCTGACATTCTTTTCATTCATCCATTCTTTCACATAATTTGATTGATGCATTGGCACAGCTGCTGAATAATAAATAAAGCCCTGGATGAGTAGAACAAAATGAACTGAACAATTGACTCAATTGACTCAATTGACCCAATTGACCAAATCACTTTTCAAGATTAAAATGACTTTGCCAAAGTGCTTGTCAAAGAAATCCTGGGGCCCCCACCCTGAATCGAAGGCCACGCCTGGCCACTTGGATGGTAGCACACTAGAATCACAAGCAATTGACACTTTGTTAGCATGTCAACAAAGATATATCTCGAAGTTCAGCCTTGACATGTCTTCCACTGAATGCTCATGTTTTCAAGCACGGTACTCCTATTTCAAAAGAAAAGGCAATTGAGCTGCAATTGTGCTTCAATTGACAAACTTTCCATCTCAGCTAATCATGATGGTTCCTCAATTCCGTTTTGAAAGCACACCATTGCCCCAACAACATGTTTTGTTTTTTATCATCAAGAGTAAGAGGAACCATACACACCCACTTCTGGAATAATGGGTATCATGATGGTTCCTCAATTCCGTTTTGAAAGCACACCATTGCTTCAACAACATTTTTTGCTTTTTATAATCAAGAGTAAGAGGAACCATACACACCCACTTCTGGAATCTTGCCAAAAACAGCTCACAGCAATTCTAATATCAGGAACCAAGCCAGCAGGCACTTTGGGATGGCTTCCTTCCTTGGCATGGGCGCAGCACATGAACTCGTTTAATTGATGGGTTTGGACAGGGAGAAGCAGGGGTCACCACAGGCATTCCAATGGTCCAAACAAACTAAAGAATGACATTCCAAGTGAACTGAAGGGCAGCAGTTTGAATTTCACCAAGTTACCACAAAACCTGGTCAGGGATTGAAGACTGCCAAGACTCATCAAATTTCAAAAGAGAATCCACTCGCCATCCTCTACTTCTGTGCCATCCTCCAGAGCCAGCACACCTGACGCAATTGACAATGACGATGGCTGCCATGACGCAATTGACAGCGCCGTCACATCCTCCAGCTCCGCTTCAGCAGCCAACGCCTCGAGGACCTGTTCAGCAAGTCCAATGGTCCAAAATGAGCCAACTGACTTGGAAGCACTACCAATTGCTGACTAACCTACTGTGTTCATGACCTTACCATGCTTGGTTCATGCAAGTGCAAATCTATTGTCAATGAAAAATTCAATAGCACAATTGACAGTGACAATGTTCCAAGCCTCGATGTGGAATTCGCCAATGTACCACATTCGTCTCCGGACCGCATGACCGCACGGGGATATCTGATCACAAAGGAACTCATTGTCTGCAGCCAAGACAAATCCCGTGTCCTTGCGGCACGCTTTGGGCGCATGCTCGCCCCGGCAGTTCCAGTCCCAAATCCGGAGAGTGCCATCATCCCAGCTCCATTTGCCATGCAATCCACTCCAGCGCAATGCTCCTCCACGAGTTCTGCCTCAGCAAAGCAAGCTGCTCAAAGACAATGTTTTAAAACTTAAAGCACTTGAGGCAATTGAAACAATTGATGTCACTTGAAAGCACTGCAGCACACTCAGAACAACGTTTGTTTACTTAAGGCAAATCAGTTCAAAACCAAGACACTCCGGAAGTTGCACTGCATAGTGTCCTTGCAGAGGGTCATCCACTCCGAGCGACGTCCGCTCCCAGAATGGTAGTAGTAGAACACATAGGCCACATGTTTCTTCTGCGGCTGTGCCACCACCAACGGGTACTGGGACTCAGACTCCTCGTTGCCTGGCTTCTTCTTGTCGTAGTCCTTGTTGTCACCAGGCGCATAGCTACGAGGAATCTTGTTCGCCATGGCTTCGATCAATTGAAAGCAATTGAAGCAATTTGACACAATTGACAATTGGCAAGGCAATATCGCTGGCTGGAATTTAAGTTAGTAGATGAATTTGATTTTGTTCAATTAAGTCGATGATTTCGATTTCATTCAATTAAGTAGATGACTTTGATTTTATAGTTTTTTTACTTGCTTTCTAGAGTAGATGTCTGGCTAAATTGTCCAACTTCAATGCTTGAGTTCCTCTACCTAGTGTAATTGCATTTTGAAGTTTCTACTGTTCTTGAGCTGCTTCTCATACAACTCAGTCACTCAAACCCAAGAGACATCAATACTTGACACAATTGAGAGAATCTCTGCAATAGCACTGCATGAAGAACCAAATGAAATCAATCAGCTTTCCAGTTAAACAGGCGATGCCACAACAGACACTGTGTCACTGTTAGAAGCTTCAACATGTTATGTTGAAAAGAATTAAGACTGGAGCAGAACCGGGCCTTTCAAAAACATCTGCAGGCTCGAAACTTGGTTCAGGCCTCACATTGAAGAATGCAATGACATGACTGCAACACTTCTTGTTAGTTTCAATTTCAAGTCTGAACTCGATTGATTCAATTGACGCAATTGCATTTGTATGGAAGAAAGCAAGTCAAGTCAAATCATTGGTTCTGAGTACTGAGAGAATGACAAGCGCCCAGATCCTGCCACAGTTAAACCCTTCAATCAATAAGTTGATCATCGTTTTCCACATGTGACTGAACGAATCAATCATGTCGGCCATGTATGATGATGTTGAGACAATTGAAGCCATCAGAATCACTGACCACCCCTTGGTTTCTGCTCATCACTTCAGATGCTACTCAGTGTGTCAGTTGAGTCAGTCTCTTGCTGTCTGTGTCTACTGGCTATCTGGCGGGAGCGATTGTGGCTCTTGCACAGCTGGCTCTTCATTGTCATCCGCCACAGTGGGCAAATGAAATTGGATCAAACGCTTACAGAAGAAGCCGCCGAACTCCACAGCGATTTCGCCTGCAGGTTTTCCAATTTCAGTCGAGTGAATTGACTCCAGAAATGTGAACATTCATGTCATGTGTGAACATTTGAAATTCAAAGGATTCCAACATTCACTTGACTCAATTGAGGTAGGCGCCCCTGTGGAAGATAATCAGGTTCGGCGCATTCTTGGGCATACTGGGCACCACCAGCCACAGGTCGTTGTCAATTTGCACATGGCAAGACCAGCAATTCGCCTGCAGCATGGCTGATGGTTCTCAACAATTTTTGGCATCGCAACGCACCTGGCAAAACCGATTGACTACTGAGTACTGAAAACCACATGGACTGAAGCAACATTATGATCCCACCTCAATGTCATCGTTGTTGAGCTCGTCCAACAACTTCTGCAGATTGGCCTTCAAACACAATTCAGGTTTCTCAACCAGTAACTTGGCCATCCTGTCCATCAGGAAGTCATGCAGCATCTCTTTCGCTTTCCTCACCGGCTGTAGTTTTGTAAATGATGCCTGGAGCCAACCATCAGGTTACTTTGACATCACTAAGAATCACTGGCAAGAATCTCTAGAGATGGGTGCTTCAGGCATTGATCTGCATCAACTTTGCGCCCTCCATCCATCCTCGGTTCGCTGACAATGCGAAAGCGCGCAACACCACATTTCTCAGAAGGTCCTTGAATTTTATTTACCAGTTGCCTTATTTTATTTGAACCAAGGCTCTCCCTGTACTTTGGCCATTTCACCCGACGATCCTGCTCATGAGATGCAGTGACCAGCTAATAATTCAGACCCCACAAGCAAAACTTTATCTATTTTATATAATGGACACACAACTCAGAACGCACTCCAATCAATCAAACATGCCTCCTGAATGACACCGGGGGCCATGACCACAATCGGAAGGGAGCCATCAGCAACAGGAACCGACATCATGGCAAACAAATGACACAATTGACACAGCTTGACAAAATTCAACTGATCCACCAATTGACCAAAATGAATGATGCAGTAAATCCTGCAAATTTTGAGCCAAAATTGCCACCACCCACACATGGCCCCGGTTCAAGAATTGAACAGTTGCAGCTTGGACTTGAGTCCACTGAATTGATTCACAATAATTGAACTCACCAGCTCCTTGTCATTGATGAAGTTGACGCGCTATACAGCCCCTCCTTGAAACATCCAAACAAAACATTGACCTGCAAACATCCAAATGACGCAAATGACACAATTGACGCAAATCATTTGTCAACGAGACATGTTTGCAAACTAAGGCCCGAGCAGGTGAATTACAATGTAGTAACATCTCAAGCAATGACTCAATTCAGAGAATCTCAATCTGAAACCACTTCACACCACAAGAACTCAACATCAGAAATTGAAGAAACACAACAGATGCAATTGACACAATTGACTGACTGACTAATTGAGGGGAAGATGTTGGCATGTTTTTGTGAGATATCACATCGGCAACAGGAAATATGCATTGCCATGTGACCTGGGGATGCATAATCATCCTGACGTGATGTGTATAACACACATCCTTCCATGAGGCATATGCAAACACAGGTACTAGACATGCCCAATAAATAGTAATGTTGGCAATGTAGTAAACTTGATGATTGAAGTTCCATCACCAAGCTCTGCTCTCATTGCCAATAATAAGACACAATTGACTCAATTGACACCCATGCCACATCCATCAAGGATACTAATTCATGTAAGTTCAATGTTTGTTGGTGCATAACTTTTAAAACTTTTCAATCTAATATAAATCATTTTACTTTTTCATTTTTCACTTTTTCATTTTTCATTTTTTACTTTTTACTTTTTCACTTTTTCACTTTTATAACTTTTTACTTTTCATTTTTCACTTTTTCACGTTATAAATCGTTGTAAGACACGGAGATGTTATGACATGTTAGCACGAGACACTTTTTGCTCAAAAAGTACTTTTTGAGATGCCCAAAAATCCCTACAAATTAATCTCCCCACAAGCTGGTCGCCATTCCGAAGTTTGTGAATGATGTTTATGGACCTTAAGCGTTATAAATGGAATTATAACTCCTATAACTAGGGTTATATCATTATAAACCCATAAACAAAACTGTTAAGGGCTATAGCTCTGGTAAACTAACATACGGTGGGTGGTTGCGAAATCCTGCACCAGTAACTATTGGAGTGAACCATTTTAAATAATGGGATGGTATATAATTGGATAAACCAACTATTAACTGGTGCAGGATTTCGCAACCATCCACAGTAGCTATGGAAAATTACAATTTTTAGTAGGCAAATCATCCATCAATGGGGATTTGTTTACGATTTTCAATAGCTATGTTAGTTTTCCGAAGGGTTAGTATTTCAGGTGATGCTCCCTACTAATGTGGGGCCCCCCGCACACGAAATCGCAAAGTTGGTGCGCTTATAACTCCGATGTCACTATGGTAGATAGTAGCTATAACTATAATTAACGGGGTGTACAAACCAAGTTTTAACTAGGGGGCCACTTTGTAGTTGTAAGTTAGAATATGACACCCCATCAACTATATAGATCTATACCTTATAAACACTATAGTGAAGCTACTTAAACAATCTTTTCTAAACCAACGTGGCGTACCAGTAAGGCGTAGCAGCTCGCTTGTCACCCAGCGATCATGGCTTAGGAGTCCCCAGCGAGGCCATGTGTCATGATGTGTCATGACAGTGGAGGGTATCAACCACTACTCCATCAATATCCCATGAATATATTACCCATAGGATCCATGTATGCTATATATGGTAACATTTACCATCAATATACCCCCAATGTTAGCATATATACCATACATTGATCCTATGGGTTATTAAGTGTCCCATCCCCATGATTCCTAGGTCCTAGTTAAAAATATTCGATTATGATTACCATATCTATATATATATATATATATAATTGTCCGCACAAAGACACCACTTGTTTTACTGAGGTAATTCACCATACCATTGTTTGATTACCAAGCATTTATGTTTACCACTAATATTGATAATCATTCATGATAATAGTAAACCAATATTATTTGTACCATCATTAATCATTAATCATTTCATGTTTGATTACCATTATTGTTTGATTATATATTACTATTGATTTAACTATTAATCGGTGTCATTATCTGATTGCCATTGATGTTTCATGATATATTACTATTAATCATTACCATTATTTGATTGCCATTGATGTTTGATTATATATCACTATTAATCATTACCATTGTTTGATTAACATTGTTGTTTGATTATATAATACTATTAATCATTACCACGATTTGAATATCATTGATGTTTGATTATATAGTACTATTAATCATTACCATTATTTGATTGCCATTGATGTTTCATGATATATTACTACTAATCAGTACCACTATTTGATTGCCATTGATGTTTCATGATATTTTACTATTAATCATTACCATTATTTGATTTTCATTGATGTTTGATTATTTATTTTACTATCAATCATTACCATTATTTGATTATCATTGATGTTTGATGATATATTACTATTAATCATAGTGATTACCATGAGATTACCCCATTAATATATCATTACCATTACCATGAGATTACTATTTGTTATATATCATTGCAATTAATAGTAATGTCATTACATCATCATTATGGCACCATGACACCGGCACCGGAGGGTACCCCAATAGCTTGACCCAATTCTACTTTCCCAACGACAAAATAGCAGTGACTACTTCCACGGCAGTCATGTCGCCCCTTTCACAGTTTTAGAAATGGCTTGCTTATAACCTCATTTTAGTGATATATCAGCTTAGTTGTAGGAGTTATTTCACACCATTTATAACTGGTTCAGGCCCATAATCAGCTCAAAATCCGATGAAATCGCTATTTTTCTTTCTTAAATCAGTTTCACCTATTTTCCTATGGTTTTCCCATGGCCATAACTGGCCAACAGGGCCAACAAAAATCAGGAGAAGCGGCTCCAACAGGCGGAACAGTTCAGTGAACGTGGCTTGTCACCAGGGAAAATGTGGACTGAACCCCGCGAAATATGGATTTAGCCGAAATGGTGATTTATAGTTGATTTATATTAGCGAAGATGGTTTGTACCTAAAAGAAGTGTTGGGTCTATGGCGTTCGGCGTTCGTCCTAACGAAGCATGTGCCAGGCAGCAGTGTGGCCCACTGGTGGCGCGTTTGAGGTTTGTGGATCTTTATGATTTGCCAGATGGATCATACATGCTTTGGGGATGAGTCAAAATCTGAGCTTTATGGGACCACAGATTCTAGTATATATATGTGCGTATATATATATATACACACATCCCTTTGGTATTAACTATCCTTACACACACATATATATATATATTATAATATTTTATATATATATATATATATATGTTTATATGGGACCGCATAAATAACAAAGGATGGGTATGTGTTTATATATGTTTGGTATTAACTGACCTTTTTGTGGGCACCCAATTTTGACCTATATCCATTTAACAAACTGCAATGTGGGGCCCCTCAGTGATGGCTAAATTGCTTTGTAAACACCATGAATACTGTAGTTATTTGCGTACCAGAAACATCCGTAAGCCAAGGTTAGTGGAGTTACATCCACCAACTTGTAAAATCAGCTATCTAGGCGGCGCCACATTGTGTAAATATCTAACCGATCTTCCTGAGTGGAAAGATTGACATTCGAGCAGTTTGTTGATTGCCAAATTCGGTGGTTTTGCAATGTCTTGCCTCTTTTTTGTCGGAATTTGGATGATCAAGAGGAATCTTGTGATATTCAGAGCCAGGCCTTGGCATTTTTTTTGGGTTTGTCTGAAAATAGGATACCCTCTGGTAAACGTTTACTTAACCATGGGAAATCACCTTTTTATAGCTGGGAAAATCCACGAACTAAATCACCATTTTCAATAGCAAACTGTCAGTTTACCAGAGGGTAACCGCAATTCCAATAGATTATGATCTTCATTAAAATGGTCAGGGCAGGAGGGTGTTTACCCCATTGACAAACACATATATATGTAGACCAGCTAGCATAGCTGGCAATTTGATATAGCTGTGGAAAATTTGGTTCTATAAAATAGATCAATGTTCTATAGAAAATGCTGATGTTCATTGATTTTCCATAGCTACAGTGGATGGAAGAAATCCTGCACCAGTTGGTAGATGGTGCACATCCCGTTATATATCATCCCATTATTTACAATGATTGATAGTTTCCAATAGTTACCCACTGGTGCAGGATTTCTTCCATCCAGAATATGTTAGATTGCCAGATAGACCTGTAGCCTTTAGCCAGTTATAGCAGGCTCAGAAAAATATTTCAAGTGATATTTTTGACCAGCTAGTTGCAGGAATGGTTTCATCAATCCCATCCCATCAAATCCCCAGCTGGTGCCCCCCCAGTTATAAGTTGGTTTATAAACCGTTATAACCCCCCTTAACTAGTCCGTTTATCTACCATAAACATCCATAACCATAGAATTCAATAGAATTCAACCATATTTACCATAAACCCAATCGAATTCAGCCACTTATTTTTTCGGCGTTTCGGTTCACGCGATCGCGAGTCATCGAGTCGGGGGACCCCCCCAGGCGGGCTGGATGCGATTCTGGCCACGACCGAAGGCAGGATGGATAGGGAAGTCATGACATTTCCGGGGAAAATGGCTCATTTATAGATGGTTTACCTATTAAAACTGGTGATTTTCTATGGCTATGTTAAATAACCAGAGGGTATATTCTATTATGTATAACATACGTATATGCAGCTTATCAATTATCAATTATGGTATAACTATCCCTATGGATCCATGGCCACTGTCTGAGAAGGTACGGCTAGCCCACCCTATATCATACCCCAGTCCCACTTCCTAAGAAGCTACGGCTGGATCTATAGGGAGAATTATCATGATATATCTGGGGAATTTGGAGGTTGATATGCGATATAGCTTTTGTTGCAACAATACATTAACGATGAGGATAGTGACGTTTATGTACTAGTGGGATAACAACCTATCTATCTGAGTAAATTACAACTACCTAACGTTGCTACGTTGGCGAATTATCAGTACCAGATATGAGATTCCCAGGGCATTGGCAATTTAAGCAACAAACATGATGCAATTATTTATTACAGGTACACTACATTGTAGAACGTTACATTACATTACACACATACATACTATATCCATGACATTTACTGTAATTCCATGTATGACATTACATTTGGATGAATTAATTCTAATGACTTGACTTTGACCTCACTGGAATGATGGTTAGTAAAGGGAATCATCCCCAAATGGCCCAACAGTTCAGCTATTTTCAGGTTCGTGAATTTAGAATTCAGCCGGAATTATACAATCATGAACTTTACTGGCATTCAATCGGATATCGAACCCAGCTATATCTTTGGAAGGGAAAATCATACGGAACATCCTATGACAAAACCTCCGGCAAATCAAAGGTGTGAATGGTAAATTTCCCGTATATGATATTCCCAGCTATAACATGTTATAAACATCCGTCCAGTTCCGGCATTCCTAGTATTTTCAGGTGTTTTCCAGTTATGTTTGTTGGTTTATAACCCCATCTACAGTAAATAGAATTATGTGCGTATCATACACCAACTTGTTATACACATAGTTATGTATGTTCACCAACTTATAGCTAACGAACTGGGGCCCCATCCTGTATGGAAAATCACCATCTTAACACGTAAATCACCGGTAAATCAACGAACCAAACGGTCCATTTTCCCATGGTTTTGCTATGGTTTTCCGCGCAGGCCGCATCTTGGAATTCCTGGCCGAGGGAGAAGCTGAACGGGCGCGGCTGTGGTACCAGATGTCTGTGCCGCGGCATGGTTTCATGCTGGAGGATCATATCTCTTAGACTGCTCAATATACTATATTTAGTATGGTATGCAGATATCTATAATGTGTAATATCTAGAATATGTTCTATCTTCTTATATATGTATAGCGTTGTAAATCTAGAATTTTGTATGGTATACAGATATTACAGATATCTATATCTTATATGAATGCGTTTGGAAATGGGGTATACAGTATACCCCAACAATGACTATTTAATAGAAAAACATGATGATAAACAGTGGATGGAACGGGGTACCGTATTTTCACAGTAATCCATATATTTGTTGAATGTTGATTTGACAAAATTGCTCCATGGGATATATATATATATATATATATTAGATGGGAAAAAATCATGGGATTTTGATTGAATACAACCAACATGACCATCAGTCTGGATGAATTATGCAGGCCTCACTACAATGTCAATGGAATGATGAGTCGGGGCAAGATTCCTAGCTATCCGGGTCCATGGGAAATAACACTCCCTTCAATGGGTTACAAATGATATCCACTATCCAATAGAATATTGTGTAGCTATATATCATATCCAATAGCTATAAAATAACATATTTGTGTAGCATAATATATCCAATAGTATATTTCATGTGTAGCTAGTATGCTGGAGTTTACCCATGAAAAAAACATATTCTACACTTGTTCTAGCCTACGGGTTGAAAAAAACCGAACCAGCGTCTTGTAGGTTTTTTTGAAGTCTTCATATGATACAGTGGGGTGGGTTGGGGTAATAACGTACATGCTACGCTGCGGCAAGTTTTCTTGCACTTCCATATATACGTCATGCTATGCTGCGGCAAGTTCTCTTGCATTTTCATATATATATATACACATCATGCTATGTTGCGGCAGCTTCTCTTGCACTTCCATACATACCCGCATGTTACGCAACGCAAAAGGAATCAAGCACTTGTGAAGAACAAAGAGTGAAGAACAGAGAGTGAAGAAAAGATGAAGGAAACAAGTGGCCAAAAGTGGCCGCCGCTGTGGTTTTGACAGAAATTAAGTGAAAATGGCCGCCCAAATTTTCTTGAAAAAACTCTGACGCCTTCACATGAAACAGTCAAACAACGATGGTTTTTGTGGGACGGAAGAAAAGGTCAGAAACACGTGTGTTCGATAAACAACCTGCCGGGTTGTTTTACAACCAACTAGTCAGGATAGAACATGCTGCAAAGGCAACGTTTAACAATCACCAGATGGTAGAAGATGGTAGAAGAGCACGGCTAATAAAGACTAATAAGCAATATGGTGGAGGCTCAGAGCATGGACGCACTTGGCATCCACTGAGATTAGTGTTTTTGAGGGGAGCATTTCAGGAGAAGTGTTGACTGGGTTAGCGTATGTTCAATGGCAGTTAGCGTATGTTCAATGGCATTACATTCCCACTTACCAACCAGTTATTACTAACGGGGTGAACCCGCAGGTAGAGTGTGGCACCAAAGGTTGACACCATGTGCCCCTAGAGTGATGGTAGAAATGATTCTCAACTGAGTGAGTTCACTCCTTATGATTACAGTTATGGCCCTGAACAGCTATAAAGTTACAAATGAGATTATAACTCCTTCAACTAAGGTGAGACATATATAACTTACATGAGGTTTTCTGTGCCAGTTATGATTTGTAACTGTTAGTTGGGCGGCTAGGTTCCTGTAATGGAACCACCACCACTTTCCTACGTGGATGGCTGGGGGGGAATTCAGCGACATTTTTTTTTGGGATCTAATGGAGATCATCGGGTTAAACCAACTATGATGGGGATAATGGGGATATAAACCAAAACTGGTTGGTGGTTTGGAAATACGCCATTGGCTTCATTGATTTTCCCACTCACCTTCCATTTAGTTCGGGGATTTCCCATCTGGTTGGTGGTTTGGAACCATGGAATTTTATGACTTTACATATATTGGGAATGTCATCATCCCAAGTGACGAATTCATATTTTTCAGAGGGGTTGAAACCACCAACCAGTTATCGAACATCATTAAAACAACATATCAATAGTACAAATCAATAGTAAATCAACAGTAAATCAACAGTAAATCAAATTATCAAATCACTGAAATTTAAAAAAACAAATCCGGCTGGTTTTCGGGCTCATGAGGTGCTGTTCCCGCGATTCATTCAAGAGAATGACAATGGGAAAGAGCGCATGCAACTTGGCTCAACTTGGCAAGCTTTGGTTCGTCCTGCTCAGCATTGATGGCCTTAGCTTCCTAGGGGGTACCCTGAAGGAGGTTCTGTGTCAGGGGGTACACACATGGGAATTTCATGCAGCTGGTGGGGATATTGTTTTGAACATGTTTGAACATGACACAAAAAGGTGTTCACACGTGCAAGCGGAGCTAGTTTTATATAATAGATACTAGGTTGTAATGTTGGAAATGAATACTATGCAATATTGGTAAATGTTTGGTTAATCAATCAAACATTGACCTGAAAGAATGGGTATCCAATGTTAGCATTGTTTTCTTGCTTTAAGCACACAAGTCTAACAAATTCGAATCCTAGGTCAAATGTCATTTCCGATTGGAATTGTGGAGGGGCCAAGAGCACGGCGTATAGTCGTGACAACTTCCGGTCGTTGATTAACATCACATGGCTCTATCACCGACAATGGTTTCTTGATTCACGAACTAAATCAAATAATCACAAAAGTTGAATCATGAAACCCATCACATCTAACTCATCCATGATATCACCCGATCCCTTATCACATGAGCAGTTTCAAAAACCTCAGTCGGTTGATGATGATAGCATGGTTTTACTGCCAATATACACATACATATGTAGGACTATCATAATCATGTTCGAAAATCCGCTTGAAGCAACCCTTCTGAGGATTTTCCAGCAGGTTTTGACACTGCTCATACATACCTGATGATGTCATGAGCATTCATGAGTTATCACATGTTATCACCATGATGTTTCATTGTTTTACTGTTACATCATGGCAAACATCACATTACTGGTTGGTGGTTTGGAACATTTTTAATTTTCAATGATACATGGGATAATCCTTCCCATTGACTAATATTTTTCAGAGGGGTAGGTCAACCACCAACCAGATTGCCATAGTGGAAGGGATATCGTTTTTGCAATCCGAATCTCCTAATTGTGTGATACTTGGTAGTGGATATCCAGTAGCAATTCTAGTATGTTGGTATGTTGCTAGCAGTACCCACAGTGATCTAAGATTATTTAAAATGCATTGATACAAAGGATATCAATTAATTCAAAGGATATAATATTGTAGACCATTGTATAATTGACTGGCCATGACTGATGTGTTTAGTGTTCCAATGATCCGTTGAAAACCAGTTATGATTGCATCCGAGAATTCATCAAAACCATTCCCAGTTTCTCTGAACACAAAACACGCCAGAGGAGCATGAACGAAGCGCGCGCATTCGCCCTGGACGTTCGCTTGGACAATTTGGAGGACAACGGGCTATTTCAGTTTCGAATTCAGAAAAATATTGTGCGGCTGGCTGATTAGAACTTGATATAATTGGGACTATATAAATAACATAACATACATATTGAACTGGGATATATATATATATTACTAGTGGAATATAACTGAAGATGTAATTCTCTGATTTATTTGATAATCTAGTGTTTATATATATACATTTATACAGATATGCATATGTAAAGATTGAATATAACCAGCAGACAGAGAATGTTTGCCAACACGGCAATGTGTTGAACAATGGGGAAGTTGCCTTTCTCTGCGCCGATGAACCAGCATCATCAGATCCTTCTGATGTTGGCTTAAAATCAGGCATCACCAGATCATTCTGATGCTGGCTTATAATCAGGTTAAAACCGCATTTGATTGATCTACAGTTTCCATTTCTTTGGAAATATGTTACATATGGCTAGATATATCCGTGGCCTAAAATCAGACTAAATCAAACCTCAAATTCTTTCGAGGCCCATTAGCCATTTCTTTGGAATTTGAATCGGTCTTCATAGATTCAACCCTAGGTGATCCTAGGTGTCCTCGCCTAAGTTTAGTTTCAAGGCTATTTTTTCTTCAGTCTCCTTGTTCTAACCGAGTCCTTCAAGTCCTTCTACTGTTGGCTTGAAAGAATTTAAATCACCAGGCTGACCATGTCTTGCTGATCATTTTGTATGGATGATGTGCTAAAGACCATGAAATACCAATATTTACTGGATGGTCATTGTCCTTATGATTTGTGGCTGGATATCCCTATGAAAACCCTGTTGGATGGAGAGTGTTGGAATGTGTCCTTCCCACCATATTGTTGGAAAAGCCCTAGACCCATGTTTGAAAAATTGTTATTTTACATCTTATACATTCCATAAAATGGGGTTACTTTATTGACTTTTAGCTGGTACTTCGGACAAAAATCAGCTATAAATCCCATGAGATTCCCATTTTCCTACGGTTTTCCTATGTTTTTCCTATAGGAAGTGGGTAACAATAGCTGATTTTCCAAACTGCTTTTCCCAGCAGTTTGGGTCATTCGAGCCTCGGCAGTTGCAGTGCTGAATTGGATCTCAAGGTGGTCAGCTGTATTCAGGTGTCACATTCTGCTTTTTTTTTCAATTTCATATCGTTTCCATATGGTTTTCCTATGCTTTTCCTATGGCCTGGCTGGTATTTCGGGCCATACCTCAATGGATTGGTTTTCTTCAGAAAATCTGAACCGGAAACCAATCCGATGTTCCCATGAAGATCATGGGGGGTTCTTTTGAAAATTGTCCCGATAATAAACCAATCCATTGAATACCCTCTGGTGAATAAACGTTTACAGTTTGTGAACTGAAAGCCATGGTCCATAGAAATAGTTGATTTAGATAGCTATAAAATGGTGATGTTCCATGGTTATGTAAACGTTTACATACCTGTTGAATGGCGATTAATGGTGATTAATGATGGTGATGAATGATGGTTAATGATGGTTAATGATGGTGATGAATGATGGTTAAAGATGGTTAATGATGGTTAAGTAATGTTAATGATGGTTAATGATGGTGCTTAATGATCATTTCCATGCTTTTTTTTGGTATGTTTACCATCCTGTACCAGCTGTAGATCCGAAGTTCTGCAGGACTACATCGTGAAAAACTCCAACCAGCCATCGACCTTCAGCGTCGGTCGCTCCAGCCATCGACCGTCGCGGCGTGCCCTGGCGGCCCATTAGGGCCCTGGCGCGGTTGTGAAACACGGGAAAAACCAGCGGGAAAGTGAACCAAGCAGTGAAAACGATGGGGAAAACACAGGGGAAAAGGAAAATGTGGGAAAATCGGGAACATAGAAAAGTTGGTTCAAAAAAAGATGTAGAAAAACCAGGAACACATACGAAAACAATAGGGAAACATGAGAAGATTTCAGGAAAACATCGGAAACAAAACATGACTTTCATAGGAACAACAAAAATGTGTTTTTTGTTTTTTTTTGCGAATCAAGGCACAACCATATCAACGCATTCGATTATGTCCTTTTGAACTTGGGATGACAATTGAGAATAACAAACACCCATTAAAAAACAACAACAACAACAACATTATAATTGATATAATGAATGTACGTGAATAGAATGGGACATAATATGAATATAATAGGATGTGAAAAACTGAGATGTTCAACATATTATTCAAACTTACAATAAACCATGGAACGTTTATCAATCGAAACTGATTGGTTTTAATGATTCAACAATCAAATATCCGGATTTATCAAAACCAATAGAAATGTAGGTTTTTTTCATGATTCAAAAGAACCATCAGAAACCGTTGAAATGTCCTGGGTGTTTCAACCACCAATTAGTGACACCCTTGAATGGGGTAAATTGATTGGATGGTGAAGATGCGGTGATGATGGTGATATTTAGCTACAAAAGGTTTTCCGGAATCTTACACAAGTTCACCAGAACCGTTGTGGTGATGGTGGTGGTGGCGGTGGTGGTGGTGGTGATGGTGTACTTTTCCAATTGGGGCGGATAGCTGGTGTCCCTGTGCAAACTTCTGAAATAACCACCATTTATGTTCATTTATCGGTATCTCCAAGTGCTGGTTGAAACCTGTTGATGGTTCAATCACTATTTCACGGTTATGACTTTCCAACCAGTATCCCCATTCATAGATGATGTTCCGATTAATTTCCCATGTTTTTTTCTGTTTTTTTCGATGTTATTTTCTTATTAAAAATCATTTCTCAACGGGATTTCTTTCATGACCATTATTCTAATCAAGATTCAATTTAAAAAAAAATGTGCTCCATGTTCAGTTTTCCCCATATATTCTTTACGCTTTTTTCAACCGTTGTTCGGTTGTTTGAAGCTGCTGGCACCGTCATTTTTACGGCTGAGGTCAGTCGTTCAGACCTGGGATACCCGAAACAGGATCGGAGTCGAAGGGGTAAATCCCCTATAGGTGGTGCCATCGGAGTTCTAAGTTGAGTTCGACTCCCCATGTTCAAGTTCGACGCATCTACCATAAACCTTATATATATATATTATAACTGTATATATATAGTGTCTTTAGCGAACGAACTGCCGCACCACGTTGTACATTGGTAACAACAACCTTAACACTCAACTATATTTATGGAAACTCCCCAACTTCTCAAACAACCGATATCCATCATGAACTACGTCAATTGGTCGGATCATATCAAGCCTTTCGTTTCCCCGTGAGAGCCGCGCTTGCTTGCGCGCCGCAGCGCACAGGAGAGCATTGTGAAGCTGCCACCAGTGGGGCTGGTCGGGGACCTGGAAATAAATGCAGGTTTGAACGGGGCAATTTTCCATTGCAATGTTTGATTCTCTGGGATATAGTGGACATTTTTTTTTGAGACACAAGAAAATCAACAATGGGATTTTATAGCAGCTTAACATATAGTCATATCATTAATTATAATCCCATTGGATATCACTAAATGATAGATATCACTATAATTAAGGGATCATTAATCAACAATGGGATTTTATAGCATATAGTGATATCATTAAATAGAACGCTTTCTTCTTCAACATCCCTTTGGATTGGAAGCTTTCTTCCCCAGGATCCCAGCGATGTTTCAAGCAGGCACCTTTTGTTCAACACTTGGGCCGCAACGCGGGGGTGCCGCGTTGCGCAGCTTAGAATGGCTAGATGTGGGGAGCCTGTAATGAGCCCCAGAAGTTGGGATATCACCCCTGCAACTATGCAGAAAAACATCCTCTTGCAACTGGAACTGCGGCCCAAAAAAAATTGGGGCGTAAAAGGCAGTTATTCATGGGCTATGATGAACGTGGATAATGGAAGATAATATATATAATAACTATATACCGGTACCCGGTATGATTTCCCTCTAGGATTTCAGGGGGGTTAACCCCCCTAAGGAGGGCTGATTTTCTGCCGTTCAAAAAGCTCGAATTTGTTGAAATGATGCTTTCGAAGTTCCCCCAATTTTCTACAGAACAACTTTTGGAGACCTCTGAAGTCGTAAGATCCTGATTTTCTGGGTAGTTTGGGTGCCCAAAATCCAGAAGCATAATTTTAGCATCTCTGAGTACGTTCATAGATTTTCTAGTGGTCCCTGATTTTCTAGAGACGCACTGGGTAGGTCATTTTGTTTTGTTTATATGCATACATATATATATAAACATGCTTAAAATCCAGTCCCATCTCTCTCCAGGGTCGATCAGCAGCCACGGTTGAAATGTCTTTTTTGTGGTCTGTCCTGGGCGACTTCGGGAAGATTATGGAAGATGTGCGTTTTCGAAAAGCTCGATCGAAAAAATCGAATAATTCGATGGGTTGGATGTTGGGCTCTAGAAAAAGGGAACCATTCCCCGGAAGTGGTTTTATTTTTGTTTTGATATCGTAATTTCAAAACTATGCAATTCAAGTATATAGGGTGATGTTTTTTCTAAGAAAAAATGCTATACATAGCTTCGAAAATGCACTTCTTGTAAGTTGCCATTTTTCTAGGATACCTCACATTGGCTTGATGTCTGTAGCTAGATTTTCTTGGGTCCCTAACTTATACAACATTCATTTTCTAATAGAAAATCATAGGCCCCAACCTGATCCGGTGAACTCGTACAGGGATATAACTATAATATACTATAGACTATGATATCATGGATGGGAATAGAATGGGCTATCATATGCTATAATATGAATTAGTTTATAGGATGTAGTGTCGTGAGATATCATGGGATATCATTGGCCGCGGGATATCACAGGATTTTTCGTCGATTCTTTAATGGGACGATTGTGGATTTGCCATGCAAAGCTCGGAGTTGTTTTGCCAAGAACAATTGGCCTCTGGTGAACTAACATAGCTATTGAAAATAGCCCATTTATAGATGGTTTACCTGGGCTTACCCATTAAAAATGGTGATTTTCCATAGTTATGTTAGTTTACTAGAGGGTAGCTTAAAAAATCACATCCAGACTCGAATTTTCTTAATTACAATGTTTTGTTTCAATAGCCAAATTCATTTCAGTTGTGATATTGAAGTTTGAGTGAACCTTGCTTGAGTAATGAATTAATTGCGTGTTTGTTTTGGCCATCTATGGATATACAATGATCATCAATGATATACATCTGTATATGCAGGCAGCGAACACACACGTACACACCTGGGGGTCGTTCCAAAACCCTCCTCTAAGAATTCGGTAAGCGGGTTTGTTGAGAACTCTTGGGCTTTGTTAAAACCTGCATCGCGCACGTTTCGCGCAAGGCCGGCCCAAGGTTTCGCGCAGGAGAAATTATTTTATAGTGGGTGGTATTTATTATTATTGGTATTATCATTATTACTATTATTATTATTATCATTATTACTATTACTATTATTATTATTTATTATTATTACTACTATTATTATTTATTATATTATTATTAGTATTTTTTATCTTATTACAATATATTGTTCTATTGTTTCTAATTATACGTATATATATATTATTATATATATATTATTGTCATATTATTATTATATTATCATTATATGGGTGCAAGTCAAAATAGAAGGTCCGGAACAAGGTCCGGGACCACACCCGTTCCATACCCCCGTTCCATACCCCCGTTCATACAGTACCTGTTTGAAGGATCCGTTCCATACCTCTGTTCCATACCTCTGATCCATACGTTATGATTTGTATATATATATATTATATATATATTATATATATACACATTATATATATATATATTGGAACATGTGCACTCTGATTTTACATGTGTACGCACATACTTGAGCACATACATACATAAGTGTGTACATGCAAGAATATGTTTACTATGCCCAAACCCTGTGATTGTGTTGGCAAGTCTGTGCCTTACAGCTGCTACCTACTTTGTTGTGTGATGGTAGGGATGTGTTTGGCTGGCAGTCTCAGAATTGCTTGCTGCGCTACTCTCGCTCCAAACTGCCAGTTTTGATAAAGATGTGCTGCTGTGCCGTTTCGTTCCAGACCCCGTTCCATACCGTTCCATACCCGTTCTAGACCCGGACCACCCATGTACCACCCCTGACCCACTTCCGCGTCAACAAATGGCAGGTTCTCACATAAACTGCTCCTAAGCCATCCTTCGCGCCTGGGTTGTAAGAGCCTAGAGTCTTTCTACGCGGGGACACAATCTACCCCATAGGGACCTCTGAGTTTTAAGAGGAGGAGATGGGACTTGCGTGACAGGTCTGAAGCTGAGTGGACAGCTTCAGATGCAGCAGCCTACCCAGTACATGTTTTGAGCAATCTTGGCAGTTTGAACCCCCCTTGTCTTGTGCTGCGCGCGCAGGACGCAAAGTCCGAAGCCTCCTGGGCCCCAGGATGTTTCATTACCTGCCTGCCGGTCGGAGCTAAGATGATTTAGATGAGGGTGCTGAGAAATTCGAGCCATCGCTTCCTCGGTCATTTCACACTTTCCTTGGCGGGGCGCTGTAAAGAGATCACAGCAAGCCCCCCTCCAGCCTTTTTACTGCAATCTATCGACCTATTTGTCTTTTTCATGTTTTACATTCTGTTCCACTATCTACCTTATCCATCAACCTTATTTTCCTTTTTCTTTTTCGATTTATCGAATCTAGAATCTAGATCTAATTTGCGTATCTGTTTCTCTATGTATCCATCCACCTATCTATCCTTCTATCTATCTGCCTGTCACTCATTTGCTTAATCATGGTTGAACCGAACACCTGTTTTTGGATAGAAATGCGGAAAATTGCACTTTTCTGTGCTTTTCTGCAGAACTGGCCATCATCGGAGAACAACGGGTTATATTTTTTTTTGAAATTTCTGCATTTTCAAGGGAATTCTTTTGTTTGATGCTCCGCACTTTTTATTTTGATGCTTGGCAATTACTTTTGATCCTGGCCCCCGTGGGCCCATGGGCAGTTTTCTGCGCTCACTTTCCTAGAGTGGTCGACCATTCTGTTTTAATGACATTTTGTTTCGAAGTGCGCTTCAATAGGCAAATCTCGGAGAGTTCGAAAGTAAGACTGTTCTGAAACCTGGGCTTTCGAACCGGGAACATGTGTTCGGCAAATGGTGTGGACATTTTGAATCTTCAGTCAGACCGTGCTCGTGTTTAAAAAACAGTGGTGCCTGTCTGAAAGGAATGATGTTGAATCATATGTTGTCATGCCTGCACATCGAAAACAAACCAATTCAGTTCATTCAAACTCATGAAAGATTCATCACTGGATTCATGGGCCATTCATGGGTGACTCGTGATCCAATTGCCAGGAACAAGCACAACAGATTCCTTGATGCCGCATATTGTGAGAGGCATTTCGAGCAGGCGAGGCCGTTTCAATGTTGTGTAATTTGGCATGCAGGTATGTGTTTGGCATTTTCATGTCTTGATGCTTTCTTTTTTGTTCTTTAAGCTGCTTTCTTTCTTTCATCTCTGTCTCTGTTTGCCCCTGCCATCCGCACTGTCTCTGCCAGGTGTTGCGTGCAGCTGCGTGCAAGACGCCACAGATACCGCAAAGCACCTTGCAATGCGGGGCTCTCAATCCACCTAGAGCTGCATTGGTTTACTCCGTTGCCAGTTGCATTCCAGCGCCGCCAATTTCAGTACGCAAACCTAAGCACACTTTGACTTCATGAGGCCAACATGCGACGCCTCTCGCGGTGCGTTTGTGGATAAGGCACAAGGCTGATGCTGGTTACCGCGATCCTACCTGAGGAGCGATTTGAACCTCCAAAAATGATGCAACCCATTAATGTTGCCTGCCCAATAGTACAGGCCCCCCTAATTTTTATAGGGGGGGACCATTCGCAATTGTAAATCAATCCCCCGGCTCTCCCCCAATTAAGTATTGATTCTAATCGATGGCAATTAAAACTGAAATATATTTTGCAACTTTTTCCAAGTTAAGTACTGATTCTTTATCATTGCAATTTAAATTCAATTATATTTCTGAAAACTTTGTTTTGTGATTTTCAAATTAAGTATTGATCCTAATAATTAAAGCTCAAATATATATTTTGAAGTTATTTTCTTTTGGATTTTCAAATTAAGTATTGATTCTTTTTCATAGCAGTTAAAACTAAAATATTTATTTTGAAAGTTTTTTTTTGATTTTCAAGTTAGGTATTGATTCTTCATCATGGCAATTAAAATTCAAATCTAATATGTTGCAACTGTTTGATTTGGAGTTTTGGTTAAGTATTGGCTCTTTATCATTGCAATTTAAAATCAGATATATTTTTGAATGCTGTTCTTTTGTGGACTTTCAAGCCAAGTATTGGTTCTACTTGATTG